TTCCAGAAGCGAATCCAATTCTCTTAGCCTCTCAATCTTTCTGGACTTTATACCCTCTCTGACATACAGAGCCACCCCACCTCCAACCCTTCCCCCCCTATCCTTCCGATATAATATATAACCGGGAATCACCGTATCCCACTCATTTTCCTCATCCCACCAAGTTTCTGAAATACCCACAATGTCTATTTTTCCCTCCAACACCAAGCACTCCAACTCCCTGATTTTACCTCGGACACTTCTAGCATTTGTATAGAAACAGCTGTAATTTCCCATACAAGTTAAGCCTGCAACCTTCCTCTTGCTATCTCGAGACCTTGTCAGGCAGTCCATGTCACTAGCCATGGTCTCAGTAGACAATTTCAATCCACCTCCCTGTAGAAAAGCAACAGGTACCCCCTCATCTCTCTGAGATGAGCCAACCCGAACCAGAGACTTTTCATCTCCTGTCGGCTTTCCCTCAATATTCAGTTTAAAAACTGCTCTGCCACCTTTTTGATTTTAAGCGCCAGCAGCCTGGTTCCTTCTCGGGACAAGTGGAGACCGTCTTGCCTGTACAGCTCCCTCTTGTTCCAAAAAGCATCCCAGTGCCTAACAAACTTGAAACCTTCCCCCCTACGCCATCGTCTCATCCACGCATTGAGACTCCTTATCTGTGCCTGTCTCTCCAGCCCTGCGCGTGGAACAGGTTGCACTTCTGAGAAGGCTACCTTGGAGGTCCTGGACCTAAGTTTCCTGCCCAGCAGCCTAAATTTCTCCTCCAGGACCTCACAACAACATTTCCCCACATTGTTGGTGCCGACATGCACCATGACCACTTGCTCCTCCCCAGCACTATCTACCAGCCTATCTAAAGTACAATCTTTCTCCACAGTGGGGACCAAAGCAGCTCACATCATTCTCCTCTCCACCTTTTGATCTGCACAAAAATCCTATGAGGTAGGTTAGGCTGAAAGTCTGTGACTGGTCTGAAATCACTCACTCAGCTTCCACAGCAAGAACCTGGGTCTGGCAGACCCTGCTCTGAAGCACTAACTGCTATGTCACACTGGCTGTCATAGGGAGGCCACCTCAACAGGGTATACTGACACAGAGTCCACCATTTTCTCCAGAGGAACTGATCTTTACCATTTGGAGAGCAGTTGTAATTCTGAGTAATGTCCAGCCCTCACGTGGAGATTGGCAACAATGGTTCCCCAGGAGGAAAAGTACAGTCTTTCTCCACAGGGGGGACTAAAGCAGCTTACATCATTCTCCTCTCCCTGCTTATCTGCACAACAACTCTGTGATGTAGGTTAGGCTGAAAGTCTGTGACTGGTCCAAAATCACCCATTCAGGTTCCACAGCAAGAACCTGGGTCTGGCAGACCCTGCTCTGAAGTGCTACTGCTATGCCACAATGGCTGTGGTATCACCTGGTATCACAACGAAACTCCAGACTACAGATCTTGCTCTCCC